TTGTAATTACTTGAAGATGATGAGGGTGAGAGAGTAAATATGTCATTTTCGAAAAAAATAAAAATAAATTGATGGCATTTTCGTGAATTATATGAACTTGTGGGGTGAATTGGGCAAAATAAAGTTCCAAAAAAATGAGGTTAGTTTTGTGGTTGACTTCAAGTTTCAGGTCAATTCTGCAAAAAGTCCATTAGGTTTTCTCTTAATTTAAAGAATACTAGATATTGACCCGCACAACCGTGCGGTTATTTTACTACGAAAATGTTTGCAATTATATAATATTCTCTCCGTTTCAAATTAAATAATGTTTTAAAAGATTTATTTTTTCAAAATATAAGATGTTTTGAAATTCTAATATATATTTTGAGGTTTTAAGGTTACTTTTAACTTTATTGGAAACTTTTCAACCAATAAAATTTTATTATGTTTTTAATAATTGGTTGAATGATTTAAAATTCTATCTTTAAAAATATTTTTGTAAACGAATGTAAATTTCTTAATCTTTGCAATGATCCAAAACATCATATATTAAAAAATGGATTTATCAATAAATTAATATAATTTGATTTTCTATACTATCCAATTTTATAATAATATTTATGTGGCTTATAATATTATTAATGTAAAATTTATAATTTTTTTTATTTTTGTAACAATTTTTAAAAATATTATTATGTAACATTACTATTTTTTTATATCTAAATTTGAAATATATGTAAAAATTAAATTAAGTTGGACCTACATAATACATAAAATGTTTTTTGGGATATTGTTAAATGTATTTTACATAATTTTTATTTTTATTTTATAAATTAAAAAATGAGTTAAATTTTAATTATATTTTATGTTAATTAAAATTTTAATCAAATAGTTTTTGAAACTATATATTGAAAGGGTTCTAAAAGATTTTTAAAAGATTTTGTCAGAATCTTCTTAAAATTATTTATTTGTATTTTAAATAAAAATTAAAGATATGAAAATATATTATAATGATTTTATGTAAAACTTTATAATATTTTTAAGGATGGTCCAAACTAAAAAATTACACATGAAATAAGTCATGACTTCTCTTTTAATATAATAGATTTTGCTATAAAATAAGTTCACCAAAATTTTTGGTGATGATTGTTTTTCATTATTTTTTAGTTTCACTTTTCATTTTTAGATTTTGGTTTTTGGTTTTTAGTTTTTAAGTTTATACTTTTCATTTTCAGTTTTTTGGTTTTGGATTTTAGTTTTTAGATTTGGTTTTTGGTTTTGCTTTACTGTTTTTTTAATCAGTAAATTATTTAAGAAAAATAAAACAATAAATTATTTAAACGTTACAATTGAAATTTATTAAAACAAAGTGATTGTTATTTAAAATAAAAAAAAATATTAACATGTTTTAAAGTGCATGATTTAAATAAATTATTAATAATTGATAATTTTGTTTTGTTAAAAATATTAAATACCTTTTTGCGTCTGAAAAAAAAATAATTGATTTTTTGATGTTTTAAGGTGAAAAGTTTATTCAATGTTTTTTGTAGTTTTTTCTTAATACTAAGCCTAAAAACTAAACTATATAATTTGTTCAAAAAATAAAAGTAAGCTTAATACTATATTCCATAAATAAACACTTGTTTAATTTAGGTATAATTAGTAGATTTCCATATTCCATATTTTGATGATATATATTCTTTTAGAACATTCCATATTTGTAAGAGAAAATATGTGTTTTCGGTATACACATAGATATATGCCATATTTTGAAGGTAGTTTACATTAAGGTCGTCTTTTTACATTAATTGTGTTGGTTTAATTTAAGTAATACGGTTCATTCAATTATATGACTTATATTATTTGTAACATTCTAGAAAGAGTCCAAATTTAAATGACAACTTGTATCAGTAGATAAAAAGAATGAGTCTATTTTAATAGAATAGACTAGATTTTGACCCGCGCTTTAAAAGCGCGGGTATATTTTTACCATTTTGATAACGTTTATTTCAATTATTTATTGAAACACAAAAATTTAAAAATTATTTTATTAGTATTTAAAAATGTTCTATTATAATGTTTGATTTTCAGGTAATGTTTTTATATCCGACCCAGATCCATAGTTGAGCCTGTACATCCGGAAACTTTTATATAATCCAGTTAAGATTTAATTAAAAATTTACTAATTAAAAATTTGAGACAACCCGATATATATATTAAACCCCACTATTAATCTCTATTATGATATCCGTTCATCCGTAAAAAATTCCATAAAAAGCTGATAATATATATTTTTAAAAATTTGTTAAATAACTCATATTTTTAATATTAAAGTAAATTGATTTTTTTAATTTCTTTAATAAAAACTTTCTTGTCATTTGAAAAAAATGAAAAAATGGTAATAGAAACAAAAATAATTTATTTATATACCAGTATTAGTTTCTTTCGTTATTAATAACCTATTATAAGTTTACATTTTTACTCATTTTATATCTAAAGATCAGTTTTTAAAACAAATTGAATTGACATATCATTGTTGTTCAAAAACAAAAAAAAAGAATTGACATATCATTATTATGGATAAAATGACGCAGTAAATAACAATTTATAATTTTTGATCGCTAAATAATATGATGCACATAAATATGGTATTAAAATTAAATAGAAAACCATAATTTTCATAAAAGAAAAATTATTATTAATCACAGAAATAGGCAATATTATCAGTTGCCATAAATATAGGAGATATTTAGTTACTTAGTTAATTAAGATTCTAAAAATAAATAGGGGTATTATCTTATAAATATGATAAAAATCTAGGGGTAGAATCCAAAATTTTAACAATAGGATACTGCTTTAATAGTATAGACTAGATTTTGACCCGCGCTTTAAAAGCACGGGTATATTTTTACTATTTTGATAAAATTTATTTAAATTACTTATTCAAACACATAAATTTTAAAATCTATACTATTAAAGCAGGTTCCTATTGTTAAAATTTTAGATTCTACCCCTAGATTTTTATCACATTTATAAGATAATACCACTATTTATTTTTAGAATCCTAATTAATTAAACAAATTGAACCATAGTTGAACCGGTACATCCGGCAATTTTTATATAATCCAATTAAGATTTAATTAAAAATTTACTAATTAAAAATTTAAGCCAACCCGGTATATATCTTAAAACCCGCTATTAATCTGTATTGTGATATCCGTTGATCCGTTAAATAACCCCATAAAAACTGATAATATATTTTTAAAAACTTGTTAAATAATTCATATTTTCAATATTAAAGAAAATTGATTTTTTGTAATTTCTTTTATAAAAAATTTATTGTCATTTGAAAAAATGATACAATGGCAATAGAAAAAAAAACACAATTTATTCATATAACAATATTAGTTTCTTTTCGTTATTAATAACCTATGATAAGTTTACTTTTTTACTCATTTTATATCTAAAATTTAGTTTTTAAAACAAATTGAATTGACATATCATTATTATGGATAAAATGAAACAGTAAATAATAATTTATAATTTTTGATGCTAAATAATATGATGCACGGAAATATGATATTAAAATTAAATAGAAAATTATAATTTTCATAAAAGGAAAATTATTATTAATCACAAAAATAGGAAATATTATCAGTTACCATAAATATATGAGATATTAAATTGTTTAATTAATTAAGATTCTAAAAATAAATAGTGATATTATCTTATAAATGTGATAAAAATCTAGGGGTAGAATCCAAAATTTTAACAATAGGATCCTGCTTTAATAGTATAGATATACTTACAAAGGGCTACTCACTAACTTCGACTGTTCTCTACTTTGGGTGAAGGTACGTATGATATGCCCTCTATTTAGACTCACTTAATCCTTTCTTTCTCTTCACGTATTGAAACAATATTGATCTGATACACAGGAACAATATGCTATCACTGAAGCCTTTTCAGCAAATCCAGAGTACCTCAAAAACAAGGTAAGAATGATTTTGAGTTTTAATTACCAAAAAAAAACCAGCAAGCTTGAGACTATAGCAATCTAATTTTTTGGCAGGCTTCTCAGGCAAAATTGGTTGTTGATTACAAGGACTGGCAAATCGCTCTCTCACGAAGATTCAGGTTCTTTGCTCTCTCAGGAGTACATCTGCATACATACATACAATATATAGATAGTGAGATTGTGTTTGCGTGTGTGTTTTTAACAGATCATTGAAACTATGGATGGTTTTAAGGCTCTATGGAGCTGAGACCTTGAAGAACTATATTAGAAACCATATTAAACTGGCTATAGTTTTCGAACAACTTGTCTCTCAAGATCCTAACTTTGAGGTTATCACTCCAGGTTTCTTTGCTCTCGTCTGCTTCCGTATTGTTCCTGTCGATAATGATGAAAAGAATTGTAATGATCGAAACCACGAGCTCCTAGAGGCAGTGAATTCCTCAGGGAAACTCTTCATTTCTCACACTGTACGTACTGGCATCTCTTTTCTTCTTCTGATAAACTAAGAGATATATGTGTATTTATTTGTGTGGGACAAATTAAGGCTTTGTCGGGAAAAATCGTTCTACGTTTCTCCATTGGAGCGCCATTGACAAAGGAGAAGCACGAGAAGGAAGCATGAAAAGTCATCCAGGAGGAAGCATCATACTTGCGAAGCAAATATCCAAAACTATTGTAAACCCTGGTTTTGCCAACAACCCGAAGTACTGGTTTGATTTGGTTAAATTTGATTTAATATTAAATAAAATAAACATACTAATTCTGAATAGCATGAACTTGTGAACTTCGATAGGGTATTTAAAAATTGTGTGTACATGAAAACCTCTATAAATTAATAAAGTTGAAACTTTAAATTTTTATTAGTCTATAAAGATATTAATTTAAAATTTTTTACTTATTTAGATTTTTTATATTAAGATATATTTTTTCTAAGTTAAGAAAAATATTTTATTTTAGTGTATAATAATTAATTTTTTTTTGAAATTTGACATCTGTATTAATTTTATTACATTATTTGGTGTATATAATATATTGCATAAAATTTAAATGTGGTTTTAGATATAATATTACTAAATTGCATCACAAATATATTAAGTGTTACGAAAATATAAAGATAATTACATTATGAATATAAAACAAATATTATAATGATAGATTCTTACTTATATAAAATATATACATATAACATTAATTTATAATTTTAATGGGACCATATATTTACAATGAATTTTCTAAAATATTATTATCTTATTATTTAATCGATTTATGTCAAATTTTGAACAGACCAGAAAAATTTATTAGTTTATAGAGGTTATCAATTTATATAGGTCCTGCTGTATTCTTAAACGTTTGGTTTCGTTGTGGTTAACTATAACCAGTGAAGAAAATTTATTGTAGATTTTTTTTTTTACATCGACCTACAGACTTATATTGACTTTGTGAACCAAACCGATAGCTTTGTATCCATGTAAACAACGAAAGACGGATGTATTCAGATACTGTGTGCTAGACTATCCGCTCGTGAGTTCAGTGTTCTTGGTACATAGATTATTTCCGAGCTATTGAAACTCCCTTGAAGCGTCTTGATGTCCTGTAGATAATTTGTAAACACTCGCCATTCTTCTGGTTCCGAAACTATCTTCACCAATTGAGAACAATCTGTTGCAAAAGTAACATGATATTGACGTAAATTCCTCATACTCTCCATTTCCCAAATAAGTATTTTCACCTCAGAATGAAGAGGTAATAGGCTGGCTCTTACATTTCTTGCTCCCATTAAACCCACAAAACTTTCGAGTGTGCTATACCAACCTTGACCATCAAACACATCCTTGTCTTTCCATGAACCATCAACAAAACACCAGCGCTCTGGTATGACCGGTTAGGTCATGGCTACCCCTTTCTGTATTTCGCTCTGAGAAAATTTTACTTGCGCCGCCTTCCAAAGAGTTGATTCTGTCTCTGCCAATGTAAGTGTGTTCTTCGGGTCAACGTCCAAATTACTAAAAATTTTGCTATTACGCGCTTTCCAAATATACCATAATGTCTATACGAATTGATGATCCTCTATTTTAGGTATAACAAGCCAAAATAAATTATCCATATTCACAAAGAGAGAAGCCATAGGAAAAATTATCGGCTTGGAAGGAATCTTTGACAGTGCCCAAACTTGGCGCGCTGGAGAGCATTCAAAAAACACATGGTTTACTATTTCTTCTGCAGCTCCACATATATCACAACATATATCACCATTTATCCCTCTTGCCTGCAACTTTTATCCAAACAGCAATGCACCCCAATAACAATTTCCATAGAAAATGCTTTATCTTAGGAGGACACTGTACATTCCAGCAAAATGCTTTCAATACATCCACTGTGGGTCCTTGAATATTAGGCGGTCGTCCTTTATCCATATATACTTGTTCAACTTGATATCCTGACTTAACCGTGTATTTTCCATTCTTGGTAAAGTGTCATCCATCCCTATCTTCTAGTTTGGTCCTACTAAGTGGTATGCTTTCTATTAGTTTTGCATCTTGGGGGTCTACTAGAGTCCGAATAGCCATCATATTTCAACTTCGCTTATCTGTATTGATGAGAGAATCCACTGTGAGTTCCAGAGAGAAGTTATGTTGATTTTTATTTGCTGGTCTCAAGAGAGTGGTTGGGAGCCATGGATCATTCCATACAGAGATAGATGATCATGATCTCATCCGTTTGATAAGTCCTTTTGCTAACCAGAGATCTAGTGGAGATCATACTTCTCCATCCATACGATGGAGAATATGATCGGATCGGATCCAGAGGTGACGCATTCCTATAATACCAACCTTTGAAAACACGAGAAAAAAATAAAGTATTTGGTTTCTAAATAAGGCACCATAATTGTTTTCCCAGCATTGCCGTATTGAAATCCTCGAGGTCCTTAAAACCCAAACCTCCATCTTCCTTACTTAGACATAATTTATCCCCTGACTTCCAAAGCATTCCCTTTGTACTTCCCCCAGGACTCATCTAAATTTGTGCTACCGCGCTCGTTAGTTTCTTTGTAGTTACCTTAGGTAGCCTATAACAGGACATCACATGATTTGGTAAAACCATAACAACATATTTGATAATCACTCCCCCCTTCGTAAAGAATCTAAAAGTCCATTCATTAACCCTCTTATTCAATCTTTCTTGACAAATCCAAACACATGTATCTTCAACCCGCCCAAACTCTCTGCCAGGCCCAAATATGATCCCATACCTCTGATATTCTGAATTCATAGGATATCCCTTAACTCATGTATGTTTTCTTCTTCAATCTTATGTCCAAACTGAATTGATGATTTCTACAAGTTTATTAATTGACCTGAAACAGGCTCATATTTTTGAAGTATGGTGAGAATGGTTTGACATTCCTCCGGTTACGCTTTACAAAAAAGAAAAAACTATCATCCACAAAAAAAGATGGTAAATCACGAGACACACTCTGGCCACCTTTATCCATGTTAGTAGTTTCTGTCGCTCCGCTTTTTTAATATTTATAATTAAAGCCTCCGTACACATAGTAAATGAATAAGGAGACAAACGATCCCCTTGTCTTACGCCTCTTTGTGGGATAATGAAACCCCAAGGTTGACCATTTATGAAAACTCTATACTGGACAGACTATATACATTCCATCATAAGCTTTGTCCAATGAGGGTCAAAACCCATTTTATGGAGTAAAGCTTGAATAAAATCCCATTACACCCTATCATACGCTTTACTCATATCTGTTTTATTGCCATAAACTTTCTCTGGCAAGATTTATTAGCTCTTAATCCATGAAACATCTCCTGGGCAATTAGAATATTATCCGAAATTAATCTCCCTGGTACAAACGCCGGTTGGGTTTCCGAAATTAGCCTGGGCAAACAGATTTTCAGCCGTTTTGAGATGATCTTATACCTAATATTCCAAAGACTTATTGGTCTAAGTTCCGTCATCTTTGTGGGTCTCTCCATCTTAGGTATCATACAAATATGAGTTTCATTTAACCGAGCATCCAAAACTCCTGAAACCAAAAAATTATTCACCATCTCTACCAAATCTGTTTTAATACCATGCCAAGAGTGCTGGAAAAAAAGTGTTGTCATCCCATCAGATCCTAGTGCTTTCTCTGGATGCATCATAAATAAAGGTTGTTTGACCTCTTCCTCCGTCGCCATCCTCAACAACCTATTATTCATTTGAGTTGTGATATTTGATGGAATTTCCTCTAGAAAGTTATCAAACACAGATGGGAAGTAGAAGTAAATAGATCCTCAAAATAGTTCACTGCTACTTTTTCCACCCCATTTTCCTCCGTTATCCAATTTCCCATACCATCATGTAGTCCCACTCTTTTGTTACGCATCCGCCTTTGTTTTGTGAAAGCATGATAAAACTTGGTGTTAAGATCTCCAGATGAATACCATATATTACGACTTTTGATACCAATATTCCTCTTCGTCCTTATATGCATCCTGTAACTTCCTAGACACTTCCAAAATATCCTCATGGGTCCTATTATTGTCTATTTGTACTTCTTCCTGAGACCGTTGAAGATCTTGAATTTTCTCCTTTCCATATAGATTATTTTTCCTCCACCTTGCTATCTCATGCCGGCAATTACAAATTTTTGTAACAAGACCACCCGCATGGCCGTTATTGTCTTCTGCCCAGCCAGCAACAATTGAATCAATAAAACCTTCATGTCGAATCTATTTCTTATCAAATCTAAATTGCTCTTTCCTCTTATAAAATATATCCTCCATATATGCCACCACTGGGCGATGATCCAATCCAACCATCCCCAAATACTTTGTATGGGAAAATGGGAAGACTATTTGCCAATCTTCATTTTCTAGTGCTCGGTCTAGTCGGCATCTTATCATCACAGCTCATTTCCCTTTCCCTCTACGTCCTTGCCAGGACAGTTTATTTTCTAGAGCCGAAAATTCAAGAAATCAACTATTTCGAATCATATTGTTAAAAGGAACAAAAGAAAGCAAGCTCCTTAATTGGGTCAATCGCCAATAATAAATCAACGATCCGATCTTGCTAGACCATATTGGGTCAATCGTTCCCAAACTTTTTCCAGTAAATCTTGTACCGGATCCCCATACACAAACGTTAAAAAAAAAACTTTTTCCCAATAGCCACTGTTTCTACATCAATCATTCGATTACTAGAGTATAAAATATTTACTTGATACTCATTGTTGTAAAAAAGAGCCAGACCTACACACCTTCCAACCAGATCCACCGTAACCAGCTTATCATATCCAAAGTGAGCTTGAAACCCTTGTACAAACTCAAAATCTTGTTTTGTTTCCAATGATCTCATTTAAATCGCCAATAATAAATCAATGATCCGATCTTGCTAGACCATATTGGGTCAATCGTTCCCAGACTTTTTCCTGTAAATCTTGTACCGGATCCCCATACACAAACCTTAAAATTTTTTTTTCCCAATCGCCATTGTTTCTGCATCAATCATTCGATTACTAAAGTATAAAATATTTACTTAATACTTGTGGGTGTCGAAATCCACCTACTGTCAAATAATCGTAAATAATGAAACTTCGGGAAAACCCTAAGTTTCCAGAGGAAC